GTGGAGTGCTTTTGTCCCCGGTGGTAATCCGCCCACTCTCAATGCCCCAAACCCTGGTATAGGGTTTCAAAACAAGGCTGGATTATCACCACTTTTGAGAGTGAAAAATGCCAGTAATGCCCAGCAGCCTGGTCTTTTGTTCGGAGTACGTTCTTTTGTTACAGGGCCCTGTTTCCTTTGTCCGAGTTCGGAGACCCCGGCCACCCATATAAACCATACGTCTCCGATCCCGGATCCCCCGGCAGGAAGTGGTTAAGACAGACAAAACCTCTAGTTCTGTTTTTGGGGCTTTTTTTTCTTCTTCATCCTCTTCTGATGACCTAAATCCCCTTTGTTTTGTACATATTTCTTCCACCACCAACTTTAGTCCCTTAGCAACTTTGGATCTTCATCAAAGATGTGCATAGAACAATGATGTCATGATGACATCATCAAGTGATTTATTATTGATATTTTAGTATTTATTTCAGCCCATTGACTTTGTTCACGTTGTCGCACCATTTCGGTAACTTAGCTATCGTTGATCGTCATCAAAGTTACACCAAGCGCAGACCCTAAGGCAAAGACATTGTTAAAATAATTACGTCATGATGGCGTCATCAAGTGACTTTTCATTAAATTTTGAATATTTAAATATTATGTTAAATATTTAAAAATCCATGTAAAACTTACAGTTGCCACCTGCAAAATTCTGTTTGCAACAGGTGCCATAGTATAATTTGGTCTTTAATTCGTATTGTGTGAGTCAAATCATGTGACCCTTCTTTCCGGTCGAAACCGGAAATGGCCTTATCGTTTAAAAGTGGTAATAGGTATCAAGTTGTTTTTAACGCTGTTCTGTAACGGTATAGTGTTCTTCAAATTATCTGCTGATGATGTCATGTAATTGTCGAGCGCCCTCTAGCGACGAGTTAAAAATTCTGAAAAATGAATTTTGAATAGATGTCTGATCACCTGAAAAGTGATGTAGACGATGATCTTAACCTTGCGTAGGGCATTCAATACATGGTGCCGAGTGCTGATCGCATTGTATGGAATGCCAAAAGGGACAAATGTCTAATCTGTGCTCTTTCCATGATAACAATAATGTTTTGTAGTGTATTTTATATTGTACATGCCTGATTGAGTTGAAACCTTGGACCCAAATTGTCATGATTGAATAATCACCCTTAGGTTTGTGCAGTAGATTCGTTGTTCAAATTAACAATAGGAATGCGAAAAAGCCCTCTTTCCTGTTGGCAAACAGACAGATGACCTCTAGTTTTTTCACTTTCCTCTTCTCTTAAACCAAATCCCCTTTGGTTTTTACACATTTCTTCCACCACTGACTTCAGCAACTTTGGATCTTTATCAAACTTACATCAGTGAAGGACCGTTGTCTGAAAATGTGCATATAACAAAGACGCCACGATGGCTTCATCAAGTGATTTTCTAATAGATTGATTTTCTAATATTTATTTCAGCCCGTTGACTTTGTACATGTTTTCATGACTTAGTAGTTTGGTGATTTGGGGATCTTCAATTGTAACCAAAGTTACACCCAACGAAGACCCTGATACAAAAAAACATCCAAATTTATTACGTCATGATGACGTCATCAGGTGACTTTTTATTGATTTTTGAAAATTTATTTTTCCCGATAGGTTTCGTACTCGTTTTCAACAGCCAGACTTGGGACTCTGGTCAATCTAATTGATTTGATATTTGTGTACACTCATAGTCCACTACAAAGAGGGGGTCCAAGAACAAAATTGTCATAATGCCATCATCAGGGGTCACGTGACATCAGGTTTAAGGGGTGAAGTTTTTCTTTATAGGTTTTGTATACGTTTTTGTACTTACACACGTTTATTGATTTTGATGTATGAATAATCATTCACTTCAGCGGTTGGGGGAGGGGTATCTGTAAGAGGAGGATCATGGGAACAAGGTACATGTATGTAGAAAGTGGATGAAATCCTGGA